CCATATCAAGAGAAAAAATCCAATAAGACTAATACAGCAGAATGCCCTGAATTAGTAATTAAGAGAAGATCATTAAGGACTCTCAGCAAAGCTGTTTCAGTGCTGTGGCGTGGTTTAAAACCAGATTGAATCACCGTGCTTACAGTTGTTATGAGGTGTTTGTGCTGATATGTTGTTTTTTTTCCCAGATGTGGTGCTGTGCATTATAATAAAACATCTCTACTTTGGTTCTGCAACTCTTTGTTCAGATGCAACTTTGGGGGCTTTTGGAGAGCAGAAGAATTCTCTTGGCAACCATTTGAACAAAAAAATCTTTGTTCATTTTTTTTTTTTTTAACATAACGTTTGCATGCTAATTGAGGCCTTGAGAATCTGAAATGGAGCTCTTGGGCTTTTGCAGTTTCTCTGACGATTGCATGGTCTGACCTTGGGGTGAATTTGCTGTGACATCCACACCTGGGATGTTTATGGCATTGTGTTGACACACACCTGAATCCTACAGACCAGCAAACTGCCCAAACTTCTGCTTTAACAGCGGTGCTGCATTTGATTAGCAGCATTGGCTGCTTCTCAGCCTTTTATGTTCTAAGGAAGCAGTAAGTCTGCACTCAGCTTTTCACAGCACTGCACAGAGTCTTGTGAAAACTTACATTATTGCATGACTGTACATAAACGAGTCAGTCAGGGACACTGTCAGGGTGCTTTGGACAAATGCGTCCACCCTAGTGTATATGTAAGGGTGAGTCCAAAGGCGCAGACAAGCTGTACAAGATAATCACCAACATCGCCCATCTGGTACAAAATGAAACATCTGCTCCCGGTTGATTAAAGGCTGTGAGTATATTCTGAACATCTGACAATTTATTTCATTTAAGTGACCTGGTGAATTAAGTGGACACAGTTACAGTTTAACTGTATAAACTCCTAAAATTTTGGTGTACATCTGATTTTTAATCTCATCCTCGGGAGGCCTGTAGTGCAGAGCAAGTTCAACAGCAGGATATCTACTCATTGTCTGTCTTGTAATGAGTCAGCCCAAATTTTCTAAATCCCATTCAAATTAAACGGCGATCACCAATCATGAACATGGAGACGTCTAGAGCCACAAATTTCTCAGAAGAATACACAACTATAAGGCTCAACACATACGAGCCAAGCAAGAGCAACAACATTGTTTCTCCATGCTTCATGACAGTTAGCTTAGAGGAAGAGGATCTAAACTGGATGATCTGATATCGTCGTGTTGGTGTTGTTCCCAGATCATCATGAAAATGTTGTTCCAGGTTCAACATTGCAAGTGACCAATCACATTATTGTGACGTTATTCTTTTGCGCACCAACCCATTCGTGCATTTATGAAATTCCAATGTTGCAAGGACAATATCAATTCTGCTTAGCGTTTATTAAAGGGTCAGGGTTAGGGTTAGGGTCCGTTGATTGGCGGACAAAGGTGGTTTCTCGCAGCTTAAGTACAGTTTTTTGTTTTATGCCGGTTTTTCCCAAAGTCGCAAAAGTATGACATCACAACATTCTGATTGGTCACTTGCAATGTTGATCCTGGAACAACATTTAGTATGATGATCTGGGAACAACACCAACACGAGGATATCAGATCGTGCATCTAAACTAGTTTTTAATAGGAGACTGAACTCAAGAGCTGCACCGGCATAAGATAAATGAGGGTTATTTTGAACTGTGAATCATACAAAGATACTTATCTGTCCATGAATGCAAATCTGGAGCAGAAAAGAGCCCCTTTGTTTATGTAAAACACTATCAATATTGCCATGCAGACTACATTTTGAATAGAACCACAGCGGGTTGTAAAATCAGCACAATATATAGTGTAAACAGCCTTTCCCATGTTGGCAGGATCCATGCATGTACCTCCCTCGCTCGCTGTCCTGTCTATTTTAAGCAGCATCGCCGCAGGTAAACATGTCTGCCATGATCTCCTTCCGAGTATGCGAGGTACCAGCAGGGTCCAGGAGACCCTCTGAGACCTTGTGCAGATTACAGGTGCACAAGCTGTCGCAACTTTCTGACCAGCATAAAAAAATCCTGTTCTGCTCACAGTGAAGAGATGTGCTCACATCTCGAATGATGTAACATCTAACAGCATCACGTGTTACCGAGGCTGTTATCGGGCACGAGCTACAAATAAAACACACAAAAGCTGTCCGCTGAGTCGAGCTCGCGGAGGCTCACAGCAGAAACGTTTCTGAATACCTGCCTTGTCATCTGGCTTTAGAAATGCCAAACACCTTTCAGGATATGTCATTGTCATATTGTCGACTGCCGTGACCTTCATCTCCTCACAGGCGTATTTATTCAGTGAGATTACAGGGCTTTTGCTTTTTTTCCTGTGTAACTTGCAGCAGCAGTGAGCACACCGTGGAACGTGGAACTAGCATTCTTTTGAGCCCCAAATAGCCTCAGGTGGCAATGTTGAAGTAAATTGAAAACAAGCAGGGAACATAATCACATTATTGAACAACATTTCTGAACACATTTCATTAGCCTCACTGGGTCCATGTATCAACAATGTATGGTGACATATGTCATTAATTATAATTGGAAGTTGCCAGCAGGCCGTGTTAATGCACAGATAAATAACTGCGAGGAGCAGTGCTGGTGAAAGGCTGCTGGGAAAGTAAATGAAATGAAAAGCCGGACTGGGAAGGTCACTTTGAGGAGCTCTGTTGCATATTAACACTTTCACTGCCACTGTTTTCAATTTATGTGTATATTTTAAAAATAAGCACATTAGGGACACAGGATACATACAGGATGGCGTTCACGCACAGCTTTCCTGTGTGTTTGCAATTCTATTTTACTTTAAATCAGATCATAATTTACAAAATTAGAGATCACGCTGCATTAAAGAAAAATTAAAAGGAGCGGCTGAGTGCATGAACTCATCAGGAAAGATTTTATTCAGGTTATAAATAAAACGAAAGGTTATTGTCTTCTTCTATACAACTGGATCAGAAGCTATATCTATGCATGAAGTTTAATTATATTTAACATTGTAATTACTTGACATAAACGTATATATTTATCAAAATGTTTTTCTCAAGGCCAAGAAATTTTTTTTTTGTCTTGGAATAAAGAAAGCCAACAGAAGAAAGCAGCGGCTCTGAGGAAAACAAATATGTGCTCCTCGGGTTTGCATTCTAATATGCCTTAAATAACGTTGTTGGCATATGACTGTTCATAAGCCCCACAGGCAGAAGCTCACAGGAGAAGTTATCAAAAGGTGAGGGTAAAACATTTAAAATCACTTCAGCGGCTCCCTAGAACATACCGACAGCCCCGGCGAGAGCAAGAATAATTTCTTCCTCATGCCGCCAGCTTTCAGGAGTCATAAAAAAAGCTGTGACTTCAAGGCGAGGAAGCAAGAGGAGAAAAACGCCCATAAGGACTTTGTATTCAGTGCCCAAACAAAGTAAATGCGACTACTTTAAAGGTTAACAGCTGGCCTTGCGCAATATTCCAGCTGCACGTATTACAAAGCCTTCAAAGGCCAAGCATTTTTTTAAGGATAGCATTTTGTAATGTCATGTGTTTCCTTTTCATTAAAGGTGTCACTGGTGAAAAAAAATGCAGCCTGTGGAATTCAATTTCTGATCCTCAGCCTTCTCCACGAAGCACTGCTGCTGTTCCCACCTGTCACCACTAGAGGTCAGAAAAGCTTAGACGTTTTTAACTCAAGTGTTTATCGAACTTTCTCACAAATTGAAAAATAGAAATTAAATTTTAATTTACATATATGAGTTTTAATCTGTAATCTTTTATTTATCTCAAACAAACAGAAACATATAAAGGGGGTTAGGGTTATAATGTTTTATGAAATATGATATATTTGGCATTACTGGGTTATTTTATCTCTGTTTGCTGGATGTAGCGCCCAGGTAGCTCACCTGCAGATCTGGGTAGCTGAGTACCACGAGCTGGGCACAGGCATTGACGTCATCCCCTTTGATGAAGGAGAGGTCCACCCCACCAACTCGCTCCAGACCTGAAAAGTCTGGGCTCCTCTGCCAATCCTCTGTGTCCTCCTCCAGCACCTGCTGCCTCAGACGTGCCTGCTCACTGCATCGGGAAACAAATATATAAACACACTCGCTGGCAATTACTTCATGAAAAAATATGAGGCCGGCATGTAAAGTCTATAGCAGACAAAAGGGCTGTTAACAGCAACAAATCTGAAAATCTCACAGTGGCTTGATGAACCCAGGTGGTTCGACTCCTGCTGTGGTTTGTAGAACTGCAGCTAATTTAATTATTCAAAACAAGGGCTTATCTCGACAGCTTTCAAAACCACTGACATTCACGTCATGAATTTTTAATAATGTCTAAAAGAAGAATCAGTCAGCTGATTGTATTGTACTGTTGAAATGTAAATATCTGTAAATGCTGTAATTGTGTCTCTCTGCAGGACAGCAGGAGCTCCACACGCTCACATTAAGAGACATCAGGACATGATACAGACTAACGTGATGATATCGCTGCTCTTGTCTTTACAAACAAGTAAATCAATGAAAGGCTGATGAGGTGTGGAGGTGGCTCAGCTCCAAGAGCTGCCTGTGTCGTGCCAAAGTAGTTGGCCCTGACAGAAATTGCATCCCCTGCACAGCAGCATCTGTCAGCACAGTCGCTGCTTTTTACTGACAAATGACATTTTTACAAACTGTAAGACGGGTAAGACAACCATTTACTGTCAAACAATTACTGCTGCTCTAATGTAGGATGAACAAACACTGAGTTCTTAAAGATACAGAGAGAAAAGAAGAATATAAACAGGAAATAAATACAATCATGATGAAATTAAATAATATGGTAATGAAAATACTGAAAATATATATTTTTAAAGAATAGAGACCTCTGGTATTTTAAGATATCATCACTTTTGAAGTTGAATTTTTATCATTTTAGGATCCCAAAATATGGAGGTCGTTATAACTGTATCCTTGCGTTAAACGATTATAAGTAAAGCATAATATGACTACACTCTACCACTGGTGCTGTTTTGGTATTTCACCATCCACCGAAGCTGACTTCTTCTGGATGGGACACTTTGGAAAACTTTGAAGATAAAGAATCAGCAGCGTTTGGAGCAAAACGAGTCTAATGGACTTAACTGCAGAATAAAATCTGGGTTGTATTTAAGGTGTGCTGTGAGTAGCTGAGACAGAAAAGCACTCTGACCTTTCCCACTGCTGGAGCAAATCTTCTGCGGGAGAAGCGGACATCTGTCAGCCTGCTAATGAAGACACGACCAGCTGTGAAATTACTGTTTTTAAGAAAAGAAAACACCAACTGACAGCAGCAGGGAGCAGGCTGTTTACTTCCGTACTGCTGACGCGACTTTGAGGGCGGGGTCACTGGTGTAATAATGTGAATTATTGTTTGCAAGATGGTTTGTTCCACAATGGATTGTGTTGCTGCACGGACGTTTTAGAGTGTCACACAAGTAAGGATTTTTAGGCTGTATGTTGCTGTTGTACATGGCACAGGACCAATCTGAGTCGCATGACTTGTTAATAAAACTTACTACCTCGTTGGGTAGGAAATAGATATTCTGGAGTCTGTCGTGAATGAGACCAGAATATAACAACTGGGACTATCCGGGTAAGTGCTGCCACCTAGTGGTTTAAACTGTTAACTACATCAGGTTTCTGCTCACACCGCATGCAGCAGGATGTGTTAAGGTCCGAAATATGGCTCCTCGTGTGGCAGTTCAAAGGATCCCTGTTCGTCTGTCTTCCTGTACCTTCTCCACATACTTGAGACAGCAGGTTTGCAGTTGGACTCGCAATAGCTTCTGTTTCCTAACTGAACAGATCAATATCCCTGAAGCTAAAAGTGATTTTGCCTTTTACCACCTCAGACGCCGTGCAGGATGCTCATGGACTGATGTTATTACAGTTAACTGCAATTAAAATAGAAACTAAAACCAGCTGAAACTAAAAATGATGACTACATGACATGTTCACGTCCTCCACAAAATGTGGTATTTGAAAATTTTCTCTAGTTACTACGTGAAAATAAACTTAAAAAAATTTACAGGACAAAAGCTAAAATATAAAACTAAATTACTTTAGCTAAGTGAGAATATGGAGCAAATCTAGAATGACTGACTGTAATTTTTTGGTACAAACATTTTATTAATCATTGATGAAAAAATATGGGCTTTTAAATGAGGGGTGAAATAAAAAGCACTGGAAGGAACGGTCAGTACAAATCATTACACAGTGATCATGTTGGACCACCTTTGTTCTTGATAAAACTGGATCCAGATGGGAGTCATCTCCCACCGCAGCACAGCAGGGGTCACTGAATAGTTTGATGAGGATGCAAATGATGTGAATCATCTGCTACGGCCTTCATTGTCCCCAGATCTAAGCTCATCTACAGGAAACATGTCTCCAACCCCAGTGTGTCAGCAAATAAGAGGATATGCTCTGGAAGAATGGCCTATAGTGGCTCCATTAGATGTGCAGAATTAGAAAATAATTGCTAAAGAGCACTGAAGTTATTTAAGACCTTACTTAAACAATTTATGTTAGTTTTTAGAGACATTCAAGAGTGAGATAAATTGAATAGAAGATATTTAAGTAGTATTGTTTTGATAACCTTGTAAATTTTTTGTCCATTTTTATCCAGACAGGCTCTGAAATATGAAAAGCTACACAAATAAACAAACAAACAAGAAATAATACATCAGTGTGGCGCTGCCATGAAATCAAAGCCATAAACTTCACGATCCAAGGAAATAATCAGCCAGACCTTCAAGACAGACTCAATACAATGCATGTTTTTTTTCTTATTTAATTTCATCACAAATCCTTACCAGTACAGTAAAACATATTCAGCATGTGTTCTGCATTAGTAGAAGTACCAACGCAGATTTATTTACAGTCTACATAAAAGTCTGCAGCGAGCCTTTCGTCTCTGTGGCAGCGACGCCTCCACAGGTTCACTCCTTGAACTTCCACTCCTGCCGGCACATGGGGCACTGCTGCTGGACCTGCTGTGAGTTCAGCCACTTCAGGATGCAGTGCATGTGGAAACAGTGGGAGCACTGACCCCAGACCAGCGGGCAGTCATCCCCAGGCACTTTGCCTGCAAAACAAACAAACAAACAAACAAACAACAACAACAAAAACACACATTAGAGAGACTGGGCAGGATTTTGCATTCAGTTGCTGATTAGCAGATATCTTCTTGTAATACTAAAACAGGATAC